GATTCAAATCACTTTTTACTAATTCAGATTCTTTTGGTGAAGACTTCAAAGCTTGAAAAAAGAGAGAGGAATTGAGCTATTGGAAACTTGGCGAGACAGGTAATAAATTATATTTGAATCATTTAGAAAATTTAATTTGGCATCATTTATAAATGTGGCATTGGATAATATCACTTAAATTTATCTACTTTAATAAAGAGCTATATGTCTATGGAGTGGTGAGCAAAGGGTCTAATCTCCACACAGGCCCAACCAGAGCCTCCACACAGTGCGGTGTGACTGCCACCTAGTGGCAGCATATCCTCACCACAGGAGTCCTACCGGTGGAGGCCCTGGAGCATCATCAGACTGTGAGGCTGACCCACAAAATAAGGCCACCTGGCAGGGAGAGTAGTTATATTTCCTATAATATCTACTCCTGTAGCTTCCAGGGTTATTTTAAGAAATATGTATTTGTTCGTGCAATTTCAAAGAAAGTCATACAAGGACATGTAAGCCACAGTTTTTACCTGTAGGGAGTTTGTTTTGTACAGGCTCCAAGTAGAGGTTCAAGTTCCCATTAATTTAATTCTAGCTCAGAAAACATTTTGTTGCTTTAAAAACAGCACTAAAATTTGCTGATTTTTGCATCCCAGGACTCAGTAAGGAAAAAAACAGTGGCTAAGTCAGAAGTGTGGGATCCATTCCAACCAGCAGTAGAAGTTCAGGCAAGTGCCTCCATATTTTCTAACCCATTAAATGGCGGCGATTGAAGTAGGCTGTCTCTGAGACACTCTCCAGGAAAAGTTCTACTACTCCCATTCATTTCTTAACTTCCACCTCAGGAGGGCCAAAACTTTTTTGGCTAAGCTGTTCTCACATTATCATGGGTGATTTCAAGGTTGATTCATTTTCACAGCTGAATCTATCCTGGTTCCTCTGGAAGGCTAAGAATCCCAGCAACATCACAGCTGATCAATTGGGCAAATAATGTTTGCTGTTTGTCATTGAAACCTATGGGTTAGTACAGTTCTTTTCAGCTAAAGTTAGACCAAGAAGACCAAAAGTATTTGGATAAGGCCTGCAAGATCCAAAAGTGTGTAGCCTGACTCAGTCTCATTTTGCGGGGTGAGTGGCTGCTTTTGCAGATGTTAAGTGCAATAGCTGGTGAGTTCGAGGATTCATCTTAGTCCATGCTTTTGCTAAGCAGAAATCAGTGCCAAGATGATTAAGCATGACCTTTCCATACAGATGGTGCCTCACTTCACCAGCACAAACAGCACCTGTCACATTAACCCTGAAAAGCAGATGTTTACATAGTTTTAAGACAGTGTCTTAAATTGGTAAAGTAAGTGCTTTAATAAAAGACCTGGCAGAAGAGAGCACAATATCATTGAATCTATTTACATTACCTGGTAAGAATGCCATACTGTAATTCTTAGAAATTAGGAGACATTTATACATAGCACTCTTCTTAAGTTATACCTACATGAGCTTTCTTAAAAATTTTGAATTAATGTATGAACACTGCCTTATCTGAAGGCATGTCAATTCACTTTGATAAGATGTGTTTTATTACGAATACACAGTACTCAACAACAAGGCATGGTAGTCCACACCTGTAATCTCTGCTTCTTGGGAGGCTGAGGCTGGAGGATGGCAAGTTCAAGATCAGCCCAAGCAACTTAGTGAGACCCTATCTCAAAAAATACAAAGGACTGGAGCTATAACTCAGCAGTAGAGAGCTTGCCAAGCATGTGTGTGAAGCTGTGGGTTCAAGTCCAAGTATTGAAGAAAATTAAGTTTTCTGGCTTTAATACAATGTATGTGTGGAACATAGCATCAACAACCTTGAATGTTTGTTTCAAAAAGTCACATTATCTCAAAGGTAAAAGGGATTCTAAAAGTGATTGTGATTTAGAATGATTTTCCTCCAAATATAAGAACAATTTTTATCAGACACATACAAGATGGGGTTGGAATAGTTTATTCCAGATATAGACAATAGGAATTGAGAAACAGTAACGAAACCAAGAAGAAGCCAGTCTGCTTTTTATCATTACAAGAAACCAGCAATCCTAAATAATGTCAGGGATGAATATACCTCCCTGCAGAGTTAGACCATTCCTTACTCTCTCCTACAGACTGAATGCTGGTGTCCCTCAAAGTTTGTATATTGAAACCAACTAGTCCCCAGTGTGATGGGTGTGGGGCCTTTGAGAGGTGATTAGGTCAGAAGGATGAACACCTTTTGAATGGAATAAGTGCCTTTATAAAAGACTATATATATATATATATATATATATATATATATATATATACACACACACACACACACACACACACACACACACAATGGAATACTATTCAGCATTAAAAGAAAATAAAATCATGGCATATGCAGGTAAATGGATGGAGTTGGAGAATATAATGCTAAGTGAATTCAGCCAATACCCCCCAAAACAAAAGCTGAATGTTTTCTCTGATATAAGGATGCTGATTCATAATGGGGTTGGCGGGGAGCATGGAAGGATTAGATGAACTCTAAATAGAGCAAAGGGGAGGAAGGGGAAGGGAGGAGGCATGGGAGGGTAGGAAAGACAGTGGAATGAGATGGACATCATTACCCTAAGTACATGTATGAAGACATGAATGGTTGTGACTCTACTTTGTGTACAACTGGAGATACGAAAAATTGTGCTCTATATGTGTAATATGAATTGTAATGCATTCTGCTGTCATACATAACAAATTAGAATAAAAAATAATAACAAAAAAAAAAAGAATATAAGAGACCCCAGAGAGCCCTGGTCTGTTATTTGTAAACCACCCAGTCCATGGTATTCTGTTAAAATATCTCAAACAGACTAAAACACCCCGACAACCCAACCCACTAATTGTCCTACTTTCTCTGCTGTCTACTTTAATATTGAAGTGACTAAGAGCATACTGCATTCTACTTGTTACAACATAAGTTGCTATTTCATATCTCCTAATTATCAAATCAATATTTTATAATCTAGAAGATAAAGAAACACTGTTAAAAAGCATTTGAAGAATTATCCATAATTTACAATTCAGAGCTACTTGCAGCCTACCCTCTGGTGTGTTTCCTACAGTATCTTCTCTATCAGTTTCTTCTTTCCATATTCAGGGTATTTTCTTTATTTATACTAAAGATCTATAATAAATCATATTTTTAAATATTGCATAATATTCCACTCTAGGTTGTTTTCAGTCTGTCACTCTTATAATGCAAAAATGAAAATTACTCTATTATGTATTTATAATGTATTTGTCTAATTATTTTGGTAAAAATTCCTAGAAATGTAATCACGAGGTCAGAGATTAAATAAAGGCCTTCTTATAAAGGCCTCAGGATTATATTGCTAAATGACTAGCTTACATACCCAAAGAATATATTAAAATGCTAATCGTTTGAAAACACACCAAAATTTAGTATTATCAGATGAATATGTGCTTTTTTGCAGGGGTGAGGAGGGGACACTCAATGGATTGATTACTTTTATTTTTTAAAATTCGTACCATTTCTATCACAATTTACGTCTTTGATTACTATTGGGATTTTTATTTGCATTTTATTTTTCTTTTTTCCTCTTTTGGTACTGGGAATTGAACTCAGGGGCCCTCCACCACCGAGCCACATCCCCAGCCCAATTATGTCTTTTATTTAGAGACAGGTTCTCACTGAGTTGCTTAGCACCTCACAGTTTCTGAGGCTGGCTTTGAACTCATGATTCTCCTGCCTCAGCCTCCTGAGCCCCTGGGATTATAGATGTACACCAATGGGCCCAGCAGCATTTTCTTATTTATGAATTTCTGCTCAAGTCTTTTGCCCTTATAAATGGTCACCCGTTTGAAACTTACTTTTTACTGAAAGCTGGATGAAGAAACGCTATCTTTAATAAGGTAACATGCCTGGATAACTCTCCTATTGAACAGTCTCCTCTGCTACCAGGGACCCTCTACTGCCAACAGGCCCTGCCCACAGGAATCACGCACTAAGCCTCCTTTCCATTCCTTGAAACTTCACACCTTCTGAGACCACCATCACAGTCCCCTCCGTGGTTTTTCTTTCAGACTGATGGACACTTCACCACACTGGTTGTTCACAATTTCAATGAGAGCAGTAGAATAAAGATGTGCAATAATTAATTTATAGGAGAATGAGATGGGACTTTGAACTCTCTCAATAGTGCTATTTGTTTCTCTTCATGTTATCTAAACTGTCCATCATCTTTTTTTCTATCATGTTCACAGAAATTTCTTAGTAAAAAAGCTAACAAAACCTCCAACTCTTTTCACATAAACTCTTCTCAAGCCACACTCTTTATCCTGTGCTTATTAACAGATCAATTTGAAGCCCCGAAATCTTTGCGTTCAGGGTAAGTGTGGTATGGCAGACACCACCAACAGAATACAAAACTGTTTTCCTCTCTTCTCAGCACCCACCTGGGTTGTATTTCCTAGCTTCCTTTGCAGTTAGGTACAGCCACAGGGACAAGTTGTCCTCAGAAGAATGGAAGTGTTTGTGTGTGTCCCCACCTGTCCTTACTGCTCTCTGGGTTCATAAAACTGAGAGCAACTTTGAAATTCATGTGTTAAAGATGGCACTGCCACTGTCAGTTTGGTTTTTAAATGACTGTGAGGTGGAAAGTTCTTTCCACTGATCTGAATATCCATGCTGGACAGGTATATGAATAAGAAATTAAAAATTAACTTCCTCTGTATTGAACTATTGAACTTTGGGTCTATCTGAAGTAGCAATTTAGATACTGTGACTAAAATAAGAGAAAGTGAAGCATGGGGGTGGAGGGGTCGAGAACGAAATAATTTGTGTCAGTTATTCATCTCTTAACTCTCAGTTTCATTCCTGACCTTCTCTGACCCCTTATGTCACAAGGCCTGGAAGCCCACAAACAGTATCTTGCTAATTCACTTATCAGCTGCCTTCCAGAAGGATTTTGCCAACTGGGAGAATTATTTATTTATTTACTTACTTTTTAGTTTGGGGCTGTGCCTCCAACACCAGGAACAGCTAGTAGCAATGGACAGCTGCAAGCACCGAGAACATCATAGACAGTGTTCAGCTGCATCAAAGAGGCATGTTCTCCTGGCTTCCCAGCTGACCGCAGCAGTACCTCCTGAAATCATCAGCGAGTGTGGATTTCCATGGTCTAGTTCAAAGGTGGGCTACGGCTTCTTGATCTTCCCCTTATTCCTCTTGTTCTTCCCACACTTTCACTGCCAGTTCCTGCTTTATATCCTTCTCTGGATGAAACACCTAGAGGAGCTCCTCTTAACTGGACACTCCCATTGTACACAACTTCTCTTCCTGGTGCTGCTCACCACTATGAAGTTCTTTAACATTTCTGATTTCTTCAATGATAAAATTAAAAATAGAAGCTGCTCTAACACCTGGAGACTAAATAATACACTATTGAATGACCAATGGATAGTGGAAGAAATCAGGAATGAAATTATATAAAAAAAAAAACACTTAGAGTTAATTGAGAATAGCAACACAACTTATCAAAATCTCTGGGACACTATAAAGGTGTTTCTAAGAGGAAAGTTAATTGCATTGAGCGCATTCTTTAAAAAGGCACCAATTAAATAACTTAATTTTTCATCTCAAAGCCTTAGAAAAAGAAGAACAAATCAACACCAAAAGCAGTAAGACAGGAAATAATTAAAATCAGAGCTGAAATTAATGAAATTGAAACAGCAAAAAAAAAAAAAAATTCAGAAAATTGATGAAACGAATAGTTGGTTCTTTGAAAAAAAATAATTAAATTGGCAGATCCTTAATCAAGCTAATAAAGAGAAAGAGAGAAATGTCAAATTACTAAAATTCAAGATGAAAAAGGAAATATCATCATGGACACCAATGAAATACAGAAGATGATCAGAAAGTAGGAAAACTATCCTATTCACAATAGCCTCAAAAAATTTTTTTTTAAATCTAACAAAAGAGGTGAAAGACATCTACAATGAAAATCATAGTACTCTAAAGAAAGAAATTGAAGAAGACCTTAGAAGATGGAAAAATCTCCCATGTTCTCAGATAGGCAGAATTAATATTGTCAAAATGGCCATACTTCCAAAAGCACTATATAGATTTAATGCAACTCCTATTAAGGTTCTGAAACATTATTCATAGAAATAGAGAAAGCAGTCATGAAATTCATTTGGAAAAGTAAGAGACTCAGAATAGCCAAAGTAATTCTCAGTGAGAAAAGTTAAGCAGAAGGCATCACAATACCAGACTTTAAATAATACTACAGAGCCACATGGTATTGGTACAAAAACAGACATGAAGACCAATGGAACAGATTAGAAGACACAGAGTCATACTCACATAAATACAGTTATCTCATAGTAGATAGAGGTGCCATAAACATACATTTGAGAAAAGATAGCCTCTTCAACAAAGGTGCTAGGAAAACTGGAGATGTGTATGTATTAGAATGAAACTGAACCTCTATCTCTCACTTTAGACAAAACTCAACTCAAAATGGATCAAATACTAGGCATTAGACCACAAACTGTGCACTTACTAGAAGAAAATGTAGGCCCAACTCTCCATCATGTCAGCTTAGGAACAGACTTCCTCAAAAAGACTCCTAAAGCGCAAGAAGTTAAATCAAGACTCAATAAATGTACAGTAGATGGGGTAGAGAGAGATGATGGGAGGGGAGGGGAGGGGAGGGGGGATAGTAGAGGATAGGAAGGGCAGCAGAATACAACAGACACTAGTATGGCGATATATAAAAACGTAGATGTGTAACCGATGTGATTCTGCAATCTGTATACGGGGAAAAAATGGGAGTTCATAACCCACTTGAATCAAATGTATGAAATATGATATGTCAAGAGCTATGTTATGTTTTGAACAACTAATAATAAAAAAAGACTCAATAAATGGGGATGGATTCAAACTAAATAGCTTCTTCACAGCAAAGGAAACAATCAAGAATGTGAACAGAATGGAGAAAATCTTTACCACCAGCACTTCAGACAGAGCATTAATCTCCAGGATATACAAGGAATATAAAAAAAACTTGACAGCAAAAACACAAATGATCCAATCAATAAATGGGCTAAAGAAATAACAGGCATTTCACAGAAGAAATACAAATGGAAAAAAAAAACGTGAAAAGAAAATGTTCAACATCTCTAGCAATTAGAGAAATGCAAATCAAAACCATGCTAAAAACCCCATCTCACTCCAGTCATAATGGCAATTATTAAGAATACAAGCACATACACATTGCTGGTGGGACTACAAATTGGTACAACCACCCTGGAAAGAAGTATGGAGATAACTTAGAAAACTTGGAATAGACTCACCATTTGACCTTGTTGTCCCATTCCTCAGTTTATACCCAAAGGACTTAAAATCAGCATACTACAGTGACACAGTCATTTCAATGTTTATAGCAGCTCAATTCACAATAGCCAAGCTATGGAACCAACCTAGGTGCCCTACAATAGATGAATGAATAAAGAAAATGTGGTTTATATACACAATGAAATATTATTCGGCCCCAAATAAGAAAGCAATTATGGCATTTGCTGATAAGTGGATGCAGAATATCATGCTAAGTGAAATAAGCCAGTCCCAGAAAACCAAAGGCAGAATATTCTCTCAGATATGTGGATGCTAACCCACAACAAGGGAGGAGAAGATTAGAAGTTCATTGGACTAGACAAAGGTGAATGAAGAAAAGGAAGAAGGGATGATAATAGGAAAGAGAGTAGAATTGAGTATATATTTCCTAGTTTCATAATAAATAGATGACTAATATAACTCTACATAATGTACAACCACATTAATGTGACCTAATTGGAGCAAGTTGTACTTATTCTATGTATGTATAATATTTCAAAATATACAGTCATGTAAATAAATAAATAAATGACATTACTGATTTCTAACTTTATCACTTATTTGTAAATTACAGCTGGGCATGGCGATGTACCCCTGTAATCCCAGTGACTCAGGAGGCTGAAGCAGGAAGATCACAGATTCAAGGCCAGCCTCAGCAACTTAGTGAGACCCCATCTCAAAATAGAAAATAAAAAGGACTGAGGATGTAGCTCAGTAGTAAAGCACCCCTGAGTTAAATCCCCTTTCCCACTCCCATTACAAAAATATGATGGACATGGTAGCACACACTTGAAACCCTATTGTCTAATAAGACTAAAGCAGGAAGATGGCAAGTTTGAGGCCAGACTTGGCAACTTAGCAAAACCCAGTCTCAAACTAAAAAATAAAAAAGGGATGGGGTAGAAAATAGGTCAGTGGTAGAGCAACCCTGAGTTCAATCTCCAGTTACACACACAAGAAAAATAAAATACAAAATCGTATGATTTTGCTCTGCCTCATGAACATGTTTATGAATCCAAATAAAAGTGATTATGGCTACTCTTTATAATTTATAGATTCCTTTTTTTTAAGATTGTGGGTAAATTTCCCCTTACTGATCACACATTTCTTTTTTTGGGCCTTTCAAAATCTTTTGAATATTTTTAAATTCTGATCTAGTCAAATACATTAGTTATTTCTTCCTTTGAAAAAAAGACTAATATGGGGGCTGGGGTTGTAGCTCAGTGGTAGAGTACTTGCCTCACACACGTGAGGGCCTGGGTTCCATCCTCAGCACCACATAAAAATAAATAAATAAAAATAAAGATATTAAACTAAAAAATATTCAAAACTAAAAAATAATATTTAAAAAAGAAAAAGACTAATATAACCTATGGCCACTGAGGGTGATTGTATTTCTTACTCAAGGGCAGAGCTTAGTTGTTTCAACACCACCTGTGGGGAAATAGTTTCAATACCCAGCGGCCTGACTTCTTGTGACCACCAAGAACTGCTTGAATGCCAACAATAGGCTTGGTCACAGGATCCAAGGTGGACACAAATGAAGAGTGACCTCAATATCTCAAGTTAGTGTTTCTTGGGCTTGTATTCATTCACTCTTGGGCCTTTATTAAAACAAGCAGGACCTCTGCCCTTTGGACTACAGATCCTCCCGTTATTTCTGGAAGGGCTGACTTTTTATTTCATTTCAGCTTATTCTTTAGGTAGGTGACTTTGCATAGGTATTATTAGTGAATTTGTGGCATCATAGTTTTTAGGATACTCTCTTTTTTAAAATTTTTAAAAAATATTTTTAGTTGTAGTTGGGCATAATACCTTTATTTTATTTTTATGTGGTGCTGAGGATCGAATCCAGCGCCTACACATGCTAGGCAAGTGCTCTACCACTGAGCCAAACCAGCCCCTTTAGGATACTCTTATAGAAAATAAATGCACTTGAGGAAGCCCAGACAAGCCCTTTTTATATTTTTCATGTTGTAGGGACTGTCTAGTATTCAGCAATATTACACACTAGATGCCAGTAGGCTCCCCACGATGTGACAACCAAAAATGCCTCCAGAGTCTACCAAATGTCTCCTGGGGGGCAAAATTGCCCCAGTTAAGGGCCACTGTTTTAGGACCCATGGATAATATCCTAGTCAAGGTTCTGCAGAGAAATGGAGCCAATAAGATGTGGATGTGAGTGTGAATATTGATATAAATGGCATAGATATACAGGCCAACATATGAAGAGATTGTGATGAAGAATTGGCTCATGCAATCATGGAGACTAGCAAGTCCAAAATCCACAGAGCAGTCTAACAGGCTAAAGACATCGGAAAGTCAAGAGTTCAAGTCTGCAGGCCAGCTCCTGTTGAAGACGTCTCCTGGGGATATTATTATAATTTTTTTTTTTGGTGGGGGGTATTGAGGATTGAACTCAGGGGCACTCAACCAAGGAGCCACATCCCCAGACCTTTTTTGTATTTTATTTAGAGACAGGGTCTCACTGAGTTCTTCAGTGCCTTGCCGTTACTGAGGCTGGCTTTGAGTTCTCAACACTACTGTCTCAGCCTCCGAAGCTGCTGGGATTATAGGCGTGAGCCACTGTGCCCAGCTCTCCTGGGGATTTTGTTCCTTAGGTGAGGCTAGTGATTTCATTCTCTTTGGATCTTCAACTGACTGGATGAGATCCATACACTGTATGGAGGGCAATCTGCTATATTCAAAGTCTACTGAGGTAAATGTTAGTTTCATCCAAAAACATTCTTACAAAAATACTCAGAATAATGTCTGATAAAATATCTAGGTACCCTGGGACCCAGCAAGTTGACATATAACAGTACTGTCATGGATAAGTAATCCAAACTCTCAAAAC